CAACCTGTGTACAAGTTTTTAACTGAAACACACATATTATTATTTACTATGCTATCAACTCTTTCAAGTTAATCAGGTACACCGTATTTTAATGAAGATATTGTGCCTAATTTCCGAAAATGGAGGTTTATCGTACCTGTCCACAGTTAACTAATCCTTCCGGTTGGGAAAGTAGGATATATAAAAGTTAAGCAAGCCAACGTTAGTTCAGTTCATTGTACCAGTATATCACCTGACGAAGATATACTGTGTTAGCGAAACATGTCGTGTGTTTGAGAATTTTGTGGAAATCTTACCGTTTGTGAAGTTTTCACATTTGCTATGTATTTCCATCCAGTAACGGCCGAGTCAATTCAAAATATATATATAAATAGCTATTTTCACCTTCTTATATAATGAGATGAAATACAAAAATGCTTCAAGATTTTCTATCTTCGTTAATATCACTTCAGTATTCAATATTCAGTCCAGTAACGAACAGTTGATGGTATTGAAAATCTCAGTCAATTTCTATTCGCCATAAATTCGCAATCACATATCAAAACTCATTCGGCTTATTTATGTCTAACTAACGTGATTATATTATACGAAATAATACACCATCTGAACTTCAACTCGTTTCCATAATAATCACAACTTTGCAAATCGTAAACGAATTAAGACTCGCCGACTTACTTACGGGACTGACTTGTCAGGCCAATCCAGTGTATGTTCTCGAATTCAAATTATTATGTGAGTTTTATCGGTCGCTATCTATTATTTTCAAAGCATTCCTTCACAGATTGATTAAATTAGTGCAGTGCTTCTTAGCGAGTAAAACGTGGAAAAATACATTTACATTTTTTCAGCCCACGAGAAATTCCGATGGAATCAATGAGGAAGATATTGTATAAAAAATATGGATTGTATTTGCATAAATAACTATGAATGAAATTTCAAGAGAAAATATATCGTCGAAACATATTTAATCTGCCATCAATCCGAGCATCAATCATGTTGGGAGAAGTTGTCATTATCTGATTAACTAAATACTGAATCTCTTCTCGCCGACTTTATCTGTGATACGAGATTAATTAACAATTTAATTTAATCAAACGGTGTTCCTAATCCTCGAGTCCCTCGACATCTGATAGTATACGACTATTAAAACGGAATCATTATGGAAAAAGAGCTTCGAACAACCTCTTCATTGTATTATCGATTCGAATCAACGAAAGCGGAGGGGCCCAGTGGCGTAACAATCACGTCAAGTGAAGCACTTGAAAAATTTATTCTTTATATTTAATGGAATTTTATACGACGTGCCTATGTTCTACAACAAGATATTTTCTGCTACTGCAATCATGACGTAGACTGTCTATCAATATTCTAGAGATGATGCATACAAAAAATGTTCCATAGAAAAAATCATCTGCTTAGTACCAGCACATATTGTTACACTAGCCATTTTTTATTGTTAATACACATAATATCATTATTGATTCCTTCTGATATGGTATCAGCAAAAATACCTTAACCTGTTTATATACAGTATGATGCAAATGTATGGAATGAATTCATTATTTCAGAAAAGGGCGACATTTGAAAAAACTCCAAGCCTCATCCCATGATATTCATATGAGAGATGTTACATCACCGGTGTTGGAGTAACGACGTAATGGACGATTTTTTCAAATACAAATAGGGGTCATGTGACACCTTGATTGAAAGGTCTACTGATCGTCTATTCAACAGTCAAAATGTTGCATAAGAATATTGAAATTAAAATAGATTATCATGTGATCAACTGAATCTTGCAGAGGTCTGCTACTGAGAATTGAACATCGAAGGGTCGTCTAGTTAAAAAAATACATCGAAAAAAAAGTTCTGAACTCTGGTTTTTGTTTATTTTTGAAAGTCGTCTTGTTTTGAAATAAATTCATTCCATACATTTGCATCATACGTATATTACCTAGGATATTTTTTAGGTTACGATATTTGTTTATCATGCAGAGAACTTCAAAACTGTTACAAAGCATAAAGCATTGAAATACCGAAAAATTGACAAATTTTCACCTTCTTAGAATACAGTGGCTTTTCTCAAGTCAGTGACTGTTGAATTTCAAAATTTCAATACCAAAGACATCATTGTATTGTCACTTATCCTCATTAGCAACACAAGTACGTTAAATCTGATGTTTTCATAAAAAATCTTTAAAGCAGCAGCGAGCAGCAGGAGTTTACATTCGTCACATCAATTCTGGATTAAGTTTTCAGTCCCAATTTGAAATTGATTAATCCCCATTCAAGTTTTCCCACTTAAAAGTTGATGAATTCAAAGTTGAAAAGTACCCAAGCCAGAAATCGAAGGAGCGATTCAATTGCGACGAATACGCGCATCAAAACGATCCGGTACGCCGCTGGCATGCTCCGAGAAGCGAAGAATCAAGGGTGGCCGTATAGGAAACAAACACGAACCGCAACACCGAAAACGTATCGGCCTCCCAACAATTACTCATCCGGAATGCCTCTTTTCGGGTCGAGCTTGAGCTTGACATCGATTTCATCGACCACCCCCTGCCCCGCCAACGCCCCTACCCTGCGACGCTCCGCGCACCCCTGGAACTCGACGACAACGACGTCGGTGTCGGCTGGAATACGTGTAACAATTTACGTAATTACTCGGGGGTTGCAGGACCGGCCTGGCGTCTTTGGACGGCCCGATACCGGCTCAAATATTGAAAAGGAAATATTCTCAGATGAATTATGATCATGCAGAAATGGATATATATATACAGGGTTACTGGTAATTTGGTACATTCCTCTGATGATGTGATGGAGGAGAGGGTAGGGAGTGAATTTAACCCTAATATGGATTATGAAAAAGTTGATAGTTTTCGAGATATTCAATTTTTTCTGTTTATCTCCAAAAGGTAGAATTCCAGGGTTTAATAGTTAGTTTTCCGAAAATCTGTTGTACATTTTTCAAACCTTTCAACTAGAATACATGATCAACACTATGCTCATATGTTTGGAATGAAAAAATTCCAGAAATAATTTAGATAATAGATAAATTGTATATACAAAGTCGTATTTTTGTTTGTTGATTGTGGATTTCAACACTTTGTAGCGGTTATTTCTATAAAAATCTCTAAGCCACATTTGTTAAAACTTCCTTAATGCAATAGTTATCTAACTGGGTACAAATCTGTAGTCTATGGTACAAATGATAATAAAAGTGCTTGATAGGGGTTTGTTATTTTACATAAATGGTTAAAACGGACTTGGAAAAACTTCTAATATTAGTATTAACTTTTTATAAATCCTGTTAAAAATGAGACCTATATTACGAATACATGCTCGGCAGCGTCGTCTTATTTCCGTCTTTGTTATTGTAGTTCTCAACTTAGTTTGTATGCAGGGCAGCGTCGGTTATCACCTGTATGAGTTCTTCCAGGGTATTTACTGGAGTTCCATTAACTAGCGCTCCCATAATATGACCCTACACATAATGATCAATGGGGGTTAGGCCAGGGCTTCGCGCAGGCCAACCTATTCGACCTGACCTCCTTATCCAACGGTTCAAAAAGTGTTCATCTAGGAACTGCCGAACGATCAGCCGATAATGCGCTGAACAACCGTCTTGTTGGTATCATCCGTCCTCGGCGAGAGACACATCCTCAAGAAGCTCCTGTAGATGAACATTTGTTATTGTTATGCTATTTGGATGCCTCGAGCAAATAAACAAATATAAAAACTGCCGAAAATGAATACTGATAGGCATTTTTCAAGTGTGTTTTATACTATTCCTTTGGAATAACAAATCCCTATCAAGCACTTTTAGTTTCATTTGTACCCAGTTAGATAGCTATTGTCTTAAGGAAGTTTTGACAAATGTGGCTTAGAGAGTTTTCTAAAAATAACCGCTAGAATGTGGTTGAAATTCACAATTCACAAACAATAATACGACTTTGTATCTATATAAAGTTCATCGATGATTTAAATTATTTCTGTAATTTTGTCATTCCAAACATAAGACCATAGTGTTGATCATGTATTCTGGTTGAAAATTTGAAAAACTGTAGAGCAGATTTTCGGGAAACTAACTTTCAAACCCTTGAAGTGTACCTCATGGAGAAAAACAAAAGAAGTTATATCTCAAAAACTATTAACTTTTGCATAATGCATATCAGGGTTTATTTTACTCCTCACCACCTTCCCTATCACATCACCAAAGGAATGTATCTAGTTCAGAATTTCCCGGCATTCCCAAACCATTTTGGAGCTGATAACCATAGAGGTCAGCGCTTTAATGGCTGCTTGACTATAGGATATGATAATGATATCTCGTCTTGAATATAGCATTTTTCTAGATTGACCTGTACGTACACATTTCCCTGACGTTTTGGTTTCGGAGCCATCTGTGTTCCACTTTATATAGCTCCTTCGAGCTCAATACCCATGGATTCACTGTTCCACTATTTTTTGCAGCTTAGCGCTGAGCCTTGTGGTCAATGGTCATCAACCATCATACAACTTAAAATCGGAAAGACACTATACTTGATAGATATAAAACAAACATTTTTGCTGATTTGTTCATGGCTGATTGCCAAAAAGTGGCTATTATAATTTTTTCACATTCGATTAAATATCTCGGAAACCAACAAATTGTATAGTGTATGCAAAGTCAGTTGAACAGATCATCAAACGAATGTCGGGCCGCGCTACCGCACTCTTTGAACTTTCAAAGAGACCGACGGCTTGCGGTGATGTCTTTTTCCAACTGACTTTGTATAAACTATACTCATCTTTTGTTGCATTATCAGATATTATTATCATGACCTACAAGTATAAGTCGATCCAAATAATAGTATAAGTATCACGAAAAGTAATATTAACTGATCTGGGAGAATATTTTGAGCGCTGCTGCTATCTTCAACCAGCAAACAGTACTTTCAAAGTTCTGGATACTTGAAATACTTCAACGGTAATAAATAATCTATAATCAAAGGAAAACTCACCTGTTTGTGCATTTCCACGTTAAGGCCATAGGACATTTCGTAGTACTGCAACAAAAAAAACGTGCATGAGATTCATAATCTTCAATATTTGACAAGAAATGGTGAGCTTATTACATAATAATGACAGTGGACTGATTTTTCGTTTATTTTTTATTCTCAATCTTCCCACTGATACTCTCGATTTTATTATCGATTTCATTATTCTTTGAAAATTTTTTCACTGGTTTCGAAGTTTCAAAATCACAAATGAAGTCACTGTCGAGATTTGCCACCATGCCACTTATAACTACTGACGTCACGACCCAGTGCGTCAGGCAGGCGTGATGCAATCAGTATGTAAACAACATGGAATCATTGTGAAATCCATGTAATCACCATGAAATTATACGGAATCTCATGAACTCATCATGTAATCACCATTCAATCTTATGAAATCATTCATGGAATCCCATTAAATCATAATGAAATCCCATGAAATCCCATAAAATCCCATGAAATCACCATCAAATCATGAGATCAGTAGGTCAGGTCACTCTCTGGTGTCCCGCACTCAATGTTCATTATACAGGGTGGGGCAGCACATACGACACGGAGTTTCTATGGAAAACCATGGAATATCACGGATTTTTTTCGGTTGGCTGGATGTAGAATCTTTGTTTGCGCGATTTGAATGTATTATGAATTATATAGGGTGTTGGGAAAAAGAGATACGTATCAAAGTTTATGTTTTTTTAAATGGATTGCATTTTTAAATTCTCCCAGAGCAGTTCAAAGATTTTTAACATATCAATTCGCTTATAACTCAGAGGTTTGTTCATGAAAGATCATTCTTTTTTTATTTATTAGTGGATGAACTAGAACTAGTTGTTATGATATGGTGAGATTTCGAAAAAGCATCGCCAAAACCGAAAAAAAAAAATGTTTGTAAGATACGTCACTACATGAGATCATGTTTGTTAATGTGGCCTTATATACGCCCATGAATATAACGTGAATTGAAATGAATAACAGACCCAAATATTCATTTTTATTGATAAAAACACAGAAATTCATTCGACTTGTACAATACTTTACAATACCCCTTTCAGTATCTTGGGACGTCACCCGAGATATTTTAATTTCCGCGACAAACCCGATGTGAGATACGTCACTTTTGAAATTTTCAACAAATAATAAAAATATATCTCACGTATTGCCGTAACTCCTACAGTTATGTCAATTCGTGAGATTTGGTGGTCCGACAATTTGAGATAGGCTGAGTATTCGATATTTAATTCCACGAAAATAATTGAATATTAAGCTACGCCACTTTGTGAGATCAGGAAGTACAAAAATATCGGTAAATCACTTGACGAAGTATCTCAAATTCCGATTTTTATGAGATACGTCATTATGTGAGATGACCCACGATATGTAATTAATCAACGATAGATTTCCACTGATTGCCTAATTTCAGTCCACATGTGAGAAACGTTAAATGATTTATTTTTTATTTACACATACATCATCCTCCTCCGCACCACCAACCAGCCGAACCAGCCAGCAACTATTTTAAACGCCCGGCCGACTAGATGTGCGCCCCCGCCAAACACCCGTCGGCCGACGATAAACAGCCATTTCACTTTGTGCTCGGGCTTGTGTGTGTGTGAATCAGACGTGACAAGCACCTTGTCGAGCTTCGACGGTAATCGATACCAGGGGCGGTCGACACCGCTTCGGCTGGGTTCCCCGTACTTCGCTCGTGTTTCCCTTTCCCCCGTGACGGAAAGCTCTTCCAATCGAGAGGGGGGGGCGTCTGCTCCGGGAAAGATGATATGTTTCGAAATACGAAAGCTTCATTCTTTTTCTCAGTTCATTCTGGTAGACACGGGTCTATTTTTAAAAGCTTTAATTTAACTTGCATAATATGCATGTAAGTATGTTTATTTCTGACAGTGACATTATAAGCTTATATCGTCATAGTTACGATATCTATTATGAGGGTCATAACTCCCTTGGGATGTTATAGATGCTATAATTCCCTCTAGCTAAAATTAAATAAGAAATGCATAGCAACAACCACGCAATAACGTAGCAATAAGGAATCTCCTATTCGCGGTAGTCAAGATCATCATCTGACGTTCTGATGACATTGAAACTATACGGAAAAACATGTCTAACTTCCAATCGGGAAGGTATCTAATGAATGAAATCAGTCAGAAATAAAATGATCTATGTATCACGGGAATTATAGAGCCTCAATAACCTCTGGCAATTGCTGTCCCTCGGGCCAGAGGCCCTCGGGACGCAAACTTTGCCATCGGTAATTAAGGCCCTCATAATTCCCTTAATACATAAATAACTATTATTTCTGACAGTGACATTACAAGCTTATATCATCATAGTTACGATATCTATAATGAGGGTCATAACTCCCTTGGTATATTAAGGTTCAAAAACTTCCTCTTACCTTTTACAGGTGAAAATGATACAAGAAATGCTTATAAACGTTTATATGTAATGAAAACTAAGACATATTTTCCTTATTCACGTCATTACAAATAATAAATGTACAATTTTCAGAAAAAGATCGTCGATTTGTGGTAAAAAATAAACACGTTTTTAACGGAAAAACATTGATTGATAAGGGAAGTTTGCTTATTAACATGTAACATAGCGACAACCTAGCAACAACCAACAATGCTACAATCAACGCTACCTAATTCAAATATACCAGAAAGGTTATGAATTTAAACATTTATTGCGTTCTAAATATGGACATATTGTTATGAAAATCGGTCAGAAATGAAATGATCTATGTACCACGGGAATTATAGAGCCTTAATAACCTCTGGCAATTGCTGTCCCTCGGGCCAGAGGCCCTTGGGACGCAAACTTTGCCATCGGTAATTAAGGCCCTCATAATTCCCTTAATACATAAATAACTATTATGCACTAGCGGGCGGTAAAGTGCACTTCATCGTCCAGATTTGCGGACGTAACGTGGTACTTTACTGCCCGCGGGCCCATTATCGCCCACGGGCCATAAAGTGCACTTTACCACCCTCTGTTCTCAAGTATCTTATATCCACACATCCATTTGTGGAATACCTATCTATCAGCTAATTATATCGTTATGATTATGATACATGTTACTGTTCATCCGATTCCATCTTCGCTATAACTTCCTTCTTTGCATAGTTGCTTTCTGGCTGTTTTTAGCCAAAAGATGACAATTTCAGCTTGTTTTTGGGATGTATTGCTAGACAGCAACCATCAGATTGATTGACAACGTCAAATTTAGGTAGCTAGAATATACTGGGTATACATATTGTTACATCTCAAGGAATGAATCTCTGTCAGTGAACAAATAGTTTTACTCTTACGATAATTGTGATATTCGTACGGTGATTTTATTATGTAGATTATACACATAAACATCGAGCTTCTCTTGAAAACTGAATTTTTGAGTAACCTATGAATTGTAGTTTGTTTACTTGTGACTTGGGAAATAAACCACTAGTGCATAAAATTTTGTATGTATCACGTGCGTAAAATGCTAACGCCATCGGGCCATTATTCACGCCGCAGGCTATGAACGCCTACTTAACGCCCTTGATACATAAAAAACTATTATGCACTTCAGGGACTTAAAGGGTACCTTTATAGCCTATTTTCGGGAAAAAAGTGGTACTTTGTAATAAAAGCTAAATTTAGAAATGTATTTTCAAAATGTCTCTTGCAATTGTAGCATTAAACATCGAATAGACGCTTCACAATAACGATGCTTTAGCTTTTTTGACTTTCCAAGAAACATGCTAGCATTACCTTTTCTTCTGTAGATTTTTCTACGTTCCGTTCTTTTCACCATTTGATGATAGCGCTTTTCATATATTATTGTTCTCCAGATTATCTTGGTAATAATTGCCCTTCAGCTTCTTGAGTTCTTGAGCTGCCTTTATGTTTTACTTAGTTACTTGTCATAACACACCAAGATTTTAAATTGCTGATGACAATCATAATCTATATCACCGTAGTTACTGGGGTCGTTGATATGGTAACAATCAGCCCCCGATGATGTTTTAGAAATAGAATAACTACCGTTTAGTAGCATTTACTTGTTTTTTGGTTATTTTTTCTTAATAAATAGTATATTATACACCTCCCGTTGGTCGGGCTATGAACTTTTTGTCTAGAGATTAAAAATACCACTTTATTCCCTAGGTGTATGATGTACTATTATCTACTCACTGCATCGGAAGTAAGCGTTTGCTCCCTCATTTAAGGACACAAACCTGTCAATTTACTCCCACGGAAGGAAAAAAATATTACCTTCCGTGGGAGGTAAAATAAATTGTCTTTAGCTTGCTTTCTTGGTAGAGATATACGTATAAGATCTGTGTTACCAGGCGCGTGCCTGAGGGGGGGGTAATGGGGTAATTACCCCCCCCATGACCACGATGATGATGAAAAAATTTGAACATTCCTTATTTTCAAACTTAAAAAATGATGATGATGAAGACACAACGATGGGCTTTCACACCTGTCTTCTAGTCTTCAGGCTTCTAGTCACAACATTAAATTATAAATTTCGCAATCAGGGTGGCGCATTATGGAGTTGAGTGTTGAGTGAACTGGGTTTTTATTTGTTATTGTTCGCCGACACAACGACGGCCGAATTCACGAAGCAGGTGCTTATGTAAATACATTATATACTTGAAATGAAATAGTCGGGAATACGCTGTTTTCGTTTCGAAGAATATTTATTCTGTTATTTATTTTTAGTTATACATTTTTTTATTTTTGAGTTATTGTTTTCATTTTGAAATATATTCTGTTTATTTATTTTTACACTCTCTCATATTCGAGCTATTGTTTTAAAGAACATTTTGTTAATTTTTTTTAAGAATTAAATATGAATGCCTTAGTGTTACTGAAGTTTAACTTTTTAAAACGTAGGAAATATTGGTCCTGAAATGGGTGATTACCCCCCCCATGAAATTACCCTAGGCACGCGCCTGTGTGTTACCCAAGTACCTAAACAGTGTCTCCTTCACTACTATGAA